TCTCAGCTATTTGTAAGGCCTCCTCAGACAACCATTTTGCCTTTTTGCATTTCTTTTTCTTGGGGATGGTCTTGATCACTGCCTCCTGTACAATGCCACGAACCTCCATCTGTAGCTCTTCAGGCACTCTGTCTATCAGATCTAAACCCATGAATCTATTTGTCACTTCCACCATATAACTGTAAGGGATCTGATTTAGGTCATACCTGACTGGTCTAGTGGTTTTCCCTACCGTCTTCAATTTAAGTCTGAATTTGGCAATAAGGGGTTCATAATCTGTTATTTCAAGTCTGTGAGGTTTATAATGTTGGGATTAAAGCAAATGAGCAATTTTGGATCTTCTCATTTATCATCAGGTTCTTCCACAGATGAAATGTAAGGAAAAGAAACAGATGAAGAAGACAAGTAAATTTAGAGCAACTTAAAAGATACATCAAAAAAATTTTTACATAGGCAAGACTATAGCATCTTGAGGTATACACTTAGGTGATAAAACCTTAAAAGAAATACAAGGAAATACATTTAAGTTAGAATAGCAGTCACTTTTGGAGAAGGAGAAGGCGCTATGAACGGGCTGGGAAGCCCAGAGGAGCTTCTGGATGGCCAGCAACAGTCTACTTCTTGATCATGGTGATGGCTACACAGGGGTCACTACATACAGGGAAGCTATATTTTTGTCATGATTTTCTACATCTATTACAGTTTATGATTAAAAGATGGTAAATGCTTATGATAAATGACATAGCAGAGACTTAAAATGCTGTTCTCTAACCAATTTAAGCCAATATTTTCCAAACTTCTTAAGGTAGGACAGAAACAGAAATTAGTGAAGCATGAGTCTAAATGATAAATATTTGCCTGGATTCTGATAGTTTACTGTAAAAATTACACCTTCCCCCCCAAATTACAAGAAACATAATTTTTGTTTTACTTCACCAAAAAGGTTAAAAGGTTGCTGGTTAGGAAAAAACAAAAAGAAGCTTGAACTACCTAAGAGACAGGCTAGCCTCAGACGTTGTCACTGACTGTCTATGCAGGCAAATTACACTCTGCTGTTAAATAAGCCACTCTCATGTCATTACAGGAACATCTTGGAGATATAATGGATTCATTTCAGACCAACACAATAAAATAAGTATTGGAATAAAGCAATACTTCTGGTTTCCCAGTGCATGTAAAAGTTGTGTTTACACTACAGTCTACTTAGTGTGCAATAGCATAAAAAAAGCACATACCTTAATTCAAAAAATATTTTATTGCCAAAAGATACCAACCATCATCTGATAACACAGGATAACCCATCTAATGATACAGATAACAATCTGTAAAAATGCAGGATCTCTGACGCACAGTAAAGTACAATAAAAAAAAAGGTCTACCTGTAACACCAACATGTATCTTAGGGAAGCCACATAAATAAAAACTAAAAGAGCTGAACCCTGGTCTTGTAGGCTGATCTGGCTAGTTTTCACTATAATAGGGTACATATGAAACTATCCCAATTCATAAAACAGTCCTGATAAATATGAGAAATTTAGTTACTATTCTCAAAGTACTATTCTCTACTTACCTCTCTTAACTCTCCAATCCTCCGAAGTGCTTTATCCTGACTCTGACTTAATATACCCTTTAATTTAAAAGAAAAAAAAAAGGCTGGTTCAAACAACCACATGACACAGTAATGAAAAGCAAGTTTAAAAGATCACAAATCCCTGAATTTTATTTCCAACACCCTTTACTTCTGCAACTATGCACTCACAACTCTCTCCTGCCACTTAGTGGTAGACTTATGTACATTTAGAAACAAAAAACAGACAATTCAAAGAAACACAAGTAGGTACTCACAGAACTTAGGAATAAAATGACCTTTTGAGAATGAGCTTATGGAATATTAATAATACACTGGATTAAATCAGAACTATCCCCCCACTTCTATAGGCCACATGTTTAAGAAATTATCAAACTAAATACTTTATGTGTAATAATCTAATTTTCACACTTGTTATGGACAATTAGAATAGTGAAATCAGCAACAAATAACTGGTGTTACTATCCTCAACTGATTATATTCCAAACCAAAGTCAGATAATTTAATGTTGTACTCAAACCGACTATTATTAATGGCAGATTAAATATTTTAAAATAATATACATGGGGAAATAAAGTTTACCAAAACTCACCTTACAAATAACTTTTTGGTTACACAATTAATGTCTTTTAATGGGACAAGACATTAAACTGTTTTAAATAACTTCTATAGTAAGAATGAAGACTATCTGATTTTATAAATAACAGCACCATGTGAACTGGAGTGGTATTTCCCCTTAGCTCTGACATGTGAATTATCACCTGGGATGCCTGCTGGGAAATTTCTGGCCATGAAAAGGATGAGAGAGAAGGGCAGAAGTAAGTTACCAGGACTATAATCACTCCTACTCTCCACACACCTAACCAAGGGCTTTATAAGCAGCAACCTCAGGAAACAGAAGAGAGGATGCTTATTTTTGGACCCTGATATAAGGATAAGAAACAGATGTCTTCAGGTATTTAGAAAGTTGTATGTTTATCTACCATTAAAACAAAGATGCAGCCTACAGCCTGACCTACAGACTGACCCACCAGGAAACATGCTTGAGAGAAGCAAGCATGGCTTAAATCCAAACTTCTTATACACTGCATACTCGCGGAAGCCCATCCCTACCAGAGGCAAAAACATTCGCGATTTCTCTCATTCTCTTCATCAAAATCCCTAATAGTAAAACAGGTCAAATACTTTGGTCATATGAAGAATTATTAAAAGCCAGGATCAGAACTATCTTATTACAAGATCCTAATTTTAAAATTACATATGAATCAATATGAATAGCCAACAAATCACTTACTTGTAGCTTTTTCTTCTCTCTATGAAGAGTCTGATAAGCTGTAACAAGCTAAAATAAAGAAAAAGTCACTAATAACATCAGTCATTCCTATATAAATGCAGTTAATTGTTCTAAACTCTGCTAAAATATCTCATTATGAAAGTCAAAAAATAAGTCAAAGAACCCTTTAATAGACAATTCAAGTTAATCAGATGCATATGCAGTTGAAACTAAATAATATAGGTAATATATTTCTAAAAAATAAAATGTAACTTGACTATAAAAATACTAAATTACATTTTATTTCACCTAGACACATACCTCTAATACCTAATTCATAAAATGGGATTAGAGCCCATTGCCTAAAGACTACTCAAACTGTGGTCACAGATCAGTCTCATAAACAAAAGCATCACCTGGAGCCTGCTATTAATAGAAACAGAAGTTCTTGGGCCCCACCTCACACTAACTGAATGAGAAGCAGAGGGAGGGTGGAGAAAGAGCAGTATGAGAATCAGAAGGCTACAGGCAACAATTTGCTCCAAAATTTTACTAAGAGTCCTGGCCAAAGGGCCTCAGCACCAGTGAAGGCCTTGAACTAGATACTACCACCCACTACTTACCACCAGGATCCAGTGGAGCTAGGGAATCAACAGTTCAGCCAAAGACAGGCGTAAAGACTAGGCCGTAACATGAATTAGAGAACATGAGGAGGAAATTTTCATACTAGCAAAAAAAAGTCATGCCCCTACCTCACAACATTTTCCTTTGTAGCCATTCAACCTTCGTTCCGTCCTCCGCAACCACTGGATCAACTGATCTTTGCTGAGACTGTCTAAATTCCCAAGTGAGTCTTCAGTCTCACTCTCCATATCAGAGGGTGGATCAAAGAAGGCAGCAGAGGAGTCCAGGTCGAACCGATTCAGGGATTCTCTAGAAGACGTGCGTACCAGAGACTCTTTAGAGGAAGATCGGACTAGAGATTCCTTCACTGGACTCCGAAACAAAGACTCCACGGATGGCACTCGGAGCTGGAGCTTCTGTGCAAAAGACTGCGTGTCACTCGACTGCAACCAAAACGCAGCAGAACATGGGGGTTAAAATACACACTGAGACTTCTGTTATTCCCTAATCACCAGCCAGAATCTGTTAAAAGCTCTAGCACATTTAACTTCATTCCTGACATTTTACACAATACACTATTGGCTGAAAAACAAGAGACGCCCGGTTATTTCTGAAAAGGCTCTGGACCTTGAGTCAGAGGACTGGGGTGTAGGTCCCAGGTCTGTCACTGAGCAGTGGAATAACCTTCACTAAGTCACTTTCCTTCGGTTTGCCCATCTGTAAAAAAGAAGGAAGCCATGCTTTCCCAGCAGACCTCACCTGTGTGCTGTGAGATTCATCCACTAAACTAAGATCCTTGGAGGCAGGGGCCAACAATACCACAGTGTACACCCAGGACCTCAAATGGGGATATGTACTGTGAGGTGTGAAGTGTGTGGCTGAATCTGGAGCCTGCCTGGAGGCGCAGAGTCTCCTTATCACTCTTCTCAGGCAGAGGGTAGGTAACGCAGAGTGAGCGCATCTTGCTCAGTAACAGAACACAAGGCAGAGCTGACTGGTGACGTTGGGCTCTGCTCTACTTACCACTGTCTACGGGGAACAAACGAAAGCGTTACAAAATCATGACGGGCAGTGAGAGTCTGAGCCCAAGCCCTTCTGCGTGGATCAGTAAGCCTCATGTTAGAAACAGTGATCAGCAAGAGCCATCCCCTTAATTAGCATATTAATGTTAATGATAATGCGTTATTTTGTACAACAGCCATGGAAAGTACTCTACTTCAATAACTTGCATTATTCAAAGCAGCATTACTTTGTTCACATGACAGCAGTCAGTACTTAAGGTGTTTCCTAGAAATTCATTCTCATTAGGGCAACAGGGTCACTGCAAGATCTCAAAGATGCTAGGAACGAAATGCTCAGAGGAGACTGAGGTCATGTGCAGGCAAAGATTACAAGAAAACAGAAAGATTCTCTTTAATATTCAATAAAAAAAAATCAGACCAGGAATACTTTATAGATTTTAGAGATTTAATAATAGTAGTTGGCAATATGTGAGTTAACAGGGGCTCACCCTCTTCATAAACACAGAGATTTATTACAGGAGATTAGTAACAGCAAAAACTGAAAACAACCCAAATATTCACCACCAGAGGATATATCAAGTACAATGTATGTAAGGAGGTTCAAGACATATTATTATTAAATGGGAAAACTCAGGTTATAAAATAACACATATACTGTGAGGTCATTTTAATTTAAAGTAGCTACATATAGTTTTGAATCTGTATGTATGTGTATAGGAACACCTTGAGAACCAGGTCGTTAAAAGACCAACACAAAAAGGTAACAGTGCGTGGATCTGAGTGGTAAGATTTCAGGTGATTTTTGCTTTCATGTTTCTCTTTTCGTGTACTCTGCGATTCACTCTTTCATACTGTGCAGCTCTGCCTCGCTCCGGGAGAGGGTGAGAACATCTCAAGGGAGAGGAGGGACCTCGCGCTCAAGCCCTGAAGGCCACTTCACGCCCACTGCACCACCAGCCACTCGGACCCACGCAAGGATGCTCTTCAGCTCCTACAGACGGCCTCCTTGTAAACTGCCTCAGGACAAACAAGCGAGAAGTCTGACTGCCACTAGAAATAGCTGGTGAGCCGGGACTAGTGAACAATGTCAAAGACATGTATGTGCAGAAGCTCGCAAGCTGGGTAACTGTCACATCTACTCTGCTTGGCAGGAAGGTGACTGACTGCCGTCATTCAGCCTGTTGAGCTGCCGAGCAGAGCTGCCTAAGTTTAAATCCTGGTTCCGCCACAATCAATGTTCAATAAGAGTCAAGTTACTTAACCTCACGAGTTTTGTTTCCGCCTCTCTAAAATAGGGATGACAAAAATAATAATGATGATGGTAATAATAATACTATCCCCCTCATAAGGATGCCACAAGGACTGAATGAGTTAACATGTACACGCAAATTGCTTATAATGTAGCAAATATGCAATAAAACATTAATTATCATTATTAGTATTAGAGAAAGAAGACTAAAAGACAAACTTACACTTCAGAACCATACTCAAGCTTATGTGGCAGACTCTTCTGGCTCTACGACGCAGAAGCTTAGAGCACAGGCTCTCTAGCCAGACTTCATGGGTTCAAGTCTTCCTTCCACCACTGACCAGCAACATGACCTTAGGCAAGTTACACTGCCCCTCTATGCCTCTGTTTCTTCATAAGTAAACTGGGGAAAACAGCACTCCCCTCCCAGGGCGCCTATGAGGAATACTACCTGAGCACATGTGAAGCACTTCGCGCCATGACTGGCTGGAACTGTCATCACCAGATATCCAACACTGTCGATCAATAGATACCTAATCCTCCCCTCTTCCTTTCCACCGGACACCAGTTTCATGCAGGCTAACAATACAGCCAGATTAAACATTCACCTTCTCAAATACGAACTAAAACCACAATGAGACACTACCACATATCCACTAGGATGGCTAAAATTAAAACTATGGAAAACTCCAAGTACTGGTGACGATGTAAAGCCTTCCATTTTGGAAAACTACTAGTATTTATTAACACTGAAACTAAACACATGCGTACTCTGTGGACCAGCAGTTTGATCCACTGGAGAAGGGGACAGGCTACCCACTCCAGTATTCTTGGGCTTCCCTTGTGGCTCAGCTAGTAAAGAATCCGCCTGCAATGCGGGAAACCTGGGTTCAGTCCCTGGGTTGGGAAGATCCCCGGCAGAAGAGAAAAGCTACCCACTCCAGTATTCTGGCCTGGAGAATTCCATGGACTGTATAGTCCATGGGGTCACAAAGAGTCAGACACGACTGAGCAACTTTCACTTCACTATATACCCAGTACAAATGTATAATTATGTTCAACAAAAGACATGCACTATAGCAGCACTGTTCAAAGAGTACCAAACCTGAAACTACTGTTGATGCTCATCAATAACAGATGGGAAAAATAATTGTTGTCTGATCATTAAAGGAATACTATACAGCAACAAGAATTAAAGATTAATAGCTGCAAACAAGAATACACATGAATCTCACTAACAGTATTAAACAAAAGAAGCCAGACACAAAAGAATATCCACTTCTGATTCTATTTACATAAACTCAGAAACAGGCAAAATCAATCTACAGTGTTAGAAGCCACAACAGTAGTTAACCCCCGCCCCCGGTGTGAGAGGAGAACAGAAAGGAACACAAGGGTTTCTGGGAAGCTGGTAATTTCTGTTTCTTGATTTTGGGTGCTGGTTACAAAGCTGTGTTTGGTTTGTGAAAATTCAGAAAACTGTATGTGGAATACATGATACTTTTCTGTATGTAGATATTAGAGTGTGATACATTACATTTCAATTAAAGGATTTCTAAAATTAGCTCTGGGCGTCCCTGGTGGCTCAGTGATAAAGAATCCACCTGCCAATGCAGGAGGCTGGTTCATTCCCTGATCCAGGAGGATCCACATGCCTCCGAGCAACTAAGCCGTGCCCACAACTATGAAGCCTGTGCTCTGGGGTCTGGGAGTTGCAACCACTGAGCTTGGGTGCCCTAGCGCCTGTGCTGCGCAACAGGAGAAGGCATGGCAATGGGAAGCCGCACACCACCACCAGAGGGGAGCCCCGCTCACCACCACCAGAGGGGAGCCCCGCTCACCACCACCAGAGGGGAGCCCCCGCACACCACAACCAGAGGGGAGCCCCAGCGCACCACCACCAGAGGGGAGCCCCCGCACACCACAACCAGAGGGGAGCCCCCGCACACCACCACCAGAGGGGAGCCCCCACTCACCACCACCAGAGGGGAGCCCCAGCACACCACAACCAGAGGGGAGCCCCCGCACACCACAACCAGAGGGGAGCCCCAGCACACCACAACCAGAGGGGAGCCCCCGCACACCACCACCAGAGGGGAGCCCCGCTCACCACCACCAGAGGGGAGCCCCGCTCACCACAACCAGAGCAGAGCCCACACAGCAACAAAGGCCCAGCACAGCTGCAGATAAAAGAACTCATAAAACCATTAAAAATATAAATTTAAAATCATAATGAAATTAGCTTTTCCCAGACTCTGGTTCAGCCACGAGTGGGCTGTATGCCAAAGCTCAGCCAATAATGGATACTACTGGGTGGGACTCTAAAGGATGCGACTTTCCGGAGTTTTCTGGCAGTCCAGTGGTTAGGACTCCACACTTTCACTGTGGGGGCCTGGGTTCAGTCCCTGGTCAGAGAACTAAGATCCCACAAGCCACACAGTGCAGCCAAAAACCACAATGGAGCCTTCTAGAAGAAATATTATTTTCCTGATAAAAAGGAATGTGTCTTTTGTTCTATTGAGAATGGAGATGTATTTCCTGGAGGCCAAACTTGGAACCGGGAGGATGAAAGGCAGTGATGAGAATGAGAGGGAAAACGGAGGGCAGGACAAGAAGTCAATGGGAAAAGGGTCTCTAATAAACTGTCTCCAGCGTTTCTGCTACATGAACAACTCAGCTCCCACTGGCTCCAACTACTGTCGGGTTTCTGGTACCAAAGACATTCACTTATAACTCACTTTCCAAAAAGCTGATGGGGACTAGAGAAAGAGAAATGTATAAGTAAAAACAAAAGAACACAGAGTTACCTTTTAACTCCTTTCTGTCTCACGCACTTGACCCTGTGTTCATTCCTCCTTCCTATTTCCCCAACAGTGTTGCTGTTCAGACCTTTATCCTCCACCACTGGGTATCTGTAGCAGCCTCTGTCCTCCTGCCTCAAAACTCCTATCTACCGGTCTGTCGCTGCGTCACACGGTCACTAGGATGTTTAGGATTTCTTCCTAAAATATAATTCGGTTCATTTCATTCCAGCTCTTAATTTGAACTCTCACTTAATAGAAAGATCAAAATCCTTCACTTATGTTCAAGATTCCCACTTCCCAAGACCCATTTCTTTGTAAAATCACCCCTCCACATAAACAGAAACTTAAGTTCTAACAGGTAACTTCCTGTTTCCTGAACAAATGCATTGTCTGTGTGCCTCTGTACTATCGCCCAAAGTTTCCGTGCATATGGAAACCCAGACATCCTTCAAACGTGAGCTCAAACTTCTAGGAGTTCACCCATCAGAAGCTGCCTTTCTTAATGGCTAAGCACTTTACCAGGACCACTCCTGGAGCACAAACTGCATTCTGACTCACCATTAGTTACTTACTCGCTGATGTAACAACTAACTGTTTATGCCTTAAAACAACTACAGAGATAATACAGCACAGTGGTTAAGAACAGACTTCCAGATTTGAATTCCAGCTTTACTACTTACTCAACTTTAAGACCTCTGTTTCAATTTCCTCATCTACTTAAAAAACAAAACAAAACAAAAAAAAAACCTACTCTAATAGATTGTTATGAGGATTAAATGGGCAAAAACATTTAAAATAGTGTCTCATGTATAGGAAGCACTAAATATGTTTTCCTACATTGTATCCACTGCACACACACCCTCACCCCAAACTTTATACTCTTATAGAACAGGATCCATATTCTCTATTTCTGTAGTCTTGCCTCAGTGCTTTCCACAAAGTGGGTACTTAGTACACATTTGTTCAGCTGAACCTTAACCTGGCAATATGATAATGATGATCTAATGGGAAAACTTGAAATAATCAATGATTGATCAAAATGATACATATCATTTTTTACATATAGTGTATCTAATTTTAGAAATCATGAGAAAGAATTAATACAACATCACTAACACTCTACAGTAAGGTTCATAAGTTTTATTCATAACAGAAAACTGCAAACACCCCGGGTGTACATCAATAGGTGAATACCTACAGAATATTCATATAGAAATACTACACAACAACAGAAAGGAACAAACTACTGGTAACTACAACAAGGATGAGATTCCAAAAACACTTGTGGTGAGTGAAAGAAGCCTTCCACAGAACAGTATACACTCTATGAGGCCACGTACATGTAAATCTAAAATAAGCAAAACTAATCTGTCTTATGGTGGGAAAAACTTAAACCAGGTTGCCTCTGAGAGGAGCACCACAAGGGAACTTTCTGGGATGAGGATAATCTTCCATAACCTGTGGTGGGTTTGGCACATACAACTGTCAAAACTCAGTCAATGCACATGTGAGGCTTGTACATTTCATTTTATATAAAATTCACTCCAAAAAAGAAATTACAAACACTGATCTCTAGATAATGATATGCATACTAAAACATCAGTACTGTGGCCTGCAACTTTGAAAGGCATCAAAAAAAAAAAAAAAATAGATTGTAAAATAAAGTCTGATACTGCTTCCACTGTTTCCCCATCTATTTCCCATGAAGTGATGATGATTGAGGTGTTAGGTACACATATGTTCAGTTCTTTCAACTTTTCTATATGTTGGAAATTTTTCATAAGTATTGAAAATAAAATTAAAAGCAGTCTTTCACTTTCAGCAGTATTCAAAAACAGCAACAAAAATTGCAAAATTTAATTTTACTACTATAATTTATTTTTAAAAAAATAAATGATTTTCAAAACCAGACTTTTCCCCACAACTTAAAAAAAAATAACAGCATGTGAGAATGGCCATTTAAATTCCTATGTTTTGCTCTACTGAATTTAGTGAAACTCAGTTGTTATTGGAGAAGGCAATGGCAACCCACTCCAGTACCCTTGCCTGGAAAATTCCATGGACGGAGGAGCCTGGTGGGCTGCAGTCCATGGGGTTGCACAGAGTTGGACAGGACTGAAGTGACTCAGCAGCAGCAGCAGCAGCTGTTATTTTGTTTTTGTTGTTTTTACTGAAGTTTAGTTGACTTACAACGATATGTTCCTTTCAGGCATGAAACATACTGATTAGACAATTTTACAGATTATGCACCAAAGTTACTACAATGTTACTGACTCTATTTCCAGTGCTATACATTACACATCCCTATGACTTATGTATTTTATAGCTGGAAGTCTGTAGCTCTCAATCCCTTCACCTATTTTGCCATGCCCCCACCCTCCTCACCTCTGGCAACCACTAGTCTGCTCTCCATATCTCATTTTAACAGCATATAAATTTAAATGAGGCAATATATGGCAAAAAATTATAGCTTGGGAGACATGTTTTTGTCAGTCTACGATAATCCCACTATCAATAACTAGTCACTGGTCTCTGGGCAAGTAATTTAAGGTTTCATGCCTAATATCTCATCTACACAGTATAAGAGGGTAATACTAGATCCTATAGTTATCCAAAACTGCCAAAACACTAAAACTATAATCTAATAAAACTATTTCACAGCTTCTCAGATAAGGATGAATGCTCATATATACTTGTTTTACAAGTTTGTTTTACAAACTCTATTTTTCTCTATTACATGGTGGCATATACTAATTATTTTCAAATATCTGAGTTTTTTAAGTTTGTCTAAGGTAAAACATCAACTTATGAATGAAGAGTCATTTTGACTAGCTGAATGTTATGTACCAATTACCTGAATTAAACTGAAGAGTTAACTACTGTTAAGTATTAACAGGCATTTTTTTGGAAAAGGGTATACTACACTTTTCTGCTTTCTCAGATAAGGACAGTGAGTAACCCTTTTTAATGACATCTCTGCCACAAACTGTGTGCCAAAATCTACTGGTTTACAGAGGATGATCTACCCAGTAGTAAGGGGGTCACAGGCAGCTACACTTTATAAACTCTTGGGCTTACTTTTCACCATCTCTTCTACCTTGGTGTCAACTCTGATTTCCTGCTCCCAATATCAGGACGCATTCTACCTGCTTCAGGGATATCCATTGTTCCTAGTTTGCTAACAACAACCAACAACCAACCTGTCAGAAATTTGTATAAAAACAAATAGACTCTGAGTGGAGGTGTCTCCTTGTAACAAGAATTAAATGAGATCACGTACATAAAATGATTAACAACACCTGAGACACAGTAAATGCAATAAATACAACTAACTTTCTGAATATCACACATGTTCATTCCTCACCTTAATTAAAACTTAAGTGTCTCCTGAAAATGATCAAAACACTGGTTGTTATTCATTCTAGTTTTTGCATTCATAATTATATTCAGTCTGCTTGGACTATTCTACAATAGAATAAGCATTCTAAATAATATTTTCTGATTAATATTCCTTAAACATCACTGGATCTGTCCAGTAACATTTAGACTGATGCCTCCCAATATTTTACCTCTCCCTCAAGGCACTTATAAGAAATTACGTATTTGTAAAAGGACTGGGGATTAACTGGGGATGTTTCAAGGCCCAGGGACTTGGCCCAGAATCTGACTGGCCTCCCTGAAAAGAATGAGGTTCTCAGCTCACAGGTAACCTGTTCATGGAGTTTGGGAAGCTAGACAATACTTTAGAATGTTTAGTCTACATGATTTAGTTCATAAATCATATTGTTGAGAAACTGCCTATGTTTGTGCTCCAGGTCCTCAGAATCAGAAATGTTACTGCCCTACACTAGACACTGTTGAGAATAGCCAGGTTAATGTTGAATAATCATCAGTAAAGCCAAAGATAATAAATGTTCATCTCAGACACTGCTATCATTAAGATTTTTTTAATGAATTTCTTTCTTTCTTTTTTGGAAGGAGTCAAAAGAAGGTTACATGAGCCCACCCTCCAAATAACTTTTTAAAGTCAAAGATAAACTTAATTCTCTAGTAATAAGATATTCTGCATTAGAACAAACTTTAAAAGAAATGCCATTTTCTTCACATCCCCCTTCTAGAATATGTAGCTCAACATGTCTTTCAGTATGACTTACTCCTAATCTTTTACAACTATAAAGTCAGTCTTTTCTCAGTTTTATCTTCAGTGCCATTAGGTTTTTAAATAAGCAATAATGGAAGCTTACAAAACTGGTGTGTATGTATATATATATATACATACACACATGTATCACTTTCACTTTAAACTTTTTCCAAGAAACCATCAACAAACTTGGATTTACCACACATACTGCATCAAGTGTTCGGACATCACTTTCATTGTAAAGTCAAATGCTAATAACAGAGACTGACTGACACTGAAATGACTTGCTCTTTCTTTTAAATAACATTTAAAACAAACCTGAGGAGTTGTGGGTTCACTTCCGTTAACACTGTCGGGAGATTTTGTGGCTTGGAAAGACGCATTCTAAGAAAAACAAAGAAACACTGTAAAGAGAGGATCAGAAAACTAAAGTTTTAAAACTGTTAAGAACAAAGGCCAAGTACCTAAACCTATTAGACACACTTATCTATTAAACAAAATTAGTAAGTGCTCACTTATTAGAAATTTTTCATGCAAGGCAAAACTAGTACGGTAAGTATTTTAGAAAATTCATTTTGCTATTTTATCTGTAACTAGACAGCAAAGATTAGTATGTAGCAGAATTTATTTCAAACTAATCACATGCCTTTCCCTATTAAATCACCCCAGTTCTTCCCCTCAATACAAAATTAACATCAGGAATTAAATCAGCAAAACTCATTCAAGTAGAAAACTATCCAGAGAAAGTAATGTCAATTGTTCCTTACAATTAAATACTATTTAAAGTTATTCAGGCTAAGCTCTGAAAAATATCTTCCTAATAAGAAATGGAAATACCTCATTCATTTAAAGCCATCAGTCTAAATGAAACTGGTAGGACAGTTTTCAGAAAAACTTAAAATTAAAAATAATTTCTTCCACAAATGAAAGTTTTTTGTTCTGTTCTGTTGGTATGACAAATGTTCTAATTTACACAGCATTCTATTTATTACATCAAATTTGTGTGAGTTCCATAAGGTTTGATATTCTTCGAGATTCAAAATTCTACACTATTCATAATACACTAAGTGTCTAACTAAAATTAAACCTATAGAAGCAGCTCATGATAAAATAACGTCCATGTTTTAAACAAAAGCATTCAACCAAATACTAGCCACTTTGTTTCAGTAACTTGGTGCTTAAGAAGTACATTCCCCTACAACCTCTAGGACTAACCAAGGAAAGGTCAAACATGTGTCTTCTTGTTCTTAAATACAAGTGGGGAAGAGACTCAACTTTACAAAAATGTTCTCAAATTTTTGAACTCTCATTAGGTATCTGATACTATAAAATAATTTTAGCTGTGAAAAATGTACTATGATTATGTAGTTTTAGTCTTTAATACCAAAATACTTAGGCAAGATTTCTGAAATTTGCTTCAAATAATCCCACGGGGGTGGGGGAGAGGGGTATCTGCATGTGTGATGAGGGTGGGAGGGACATGGTCAGGGAGGCCTGAGGGGGTGGTATAAGACAGCCACGAGTTATTAATTGCTGACACTGGACAATGGATATTGGGGGGAAGACAAGAAATCTTATGTAATTTTTATTACTATTTCCACTCTTGCTATATGTTTGAATTTTTCTCTCATAAAAGTTTAAATACCTTGTCCCTCTAACATAAAAAGAGCTATCAAATTTTACTAGTCCAAGACACCTCCTTAAACTTACATAGGGGAGAGCGGTTAGGGGGATATAGAATTGACTTTTATCTTCCTCTTCTCTGCCATTTCAATTAGAAGCTGGATACATGGCATACATTTGTACAACATTATAATTAATGCTTTCTAGCCCTAAAAACATCCTACACTACACACTCTAAAATAAAAGACATATTTCACAGAGATCAGCAAGTCTCTCTACCAGGCAATTGAAAAGTAATTGTCTATGTGCAGTAAAAATGCTTTATGTATACTTCATATTCAGTTGCACAGAATATTAAAAAGATGTTTACTCAAGAATAGAACTTCAATAAATAAAATGAAACAAAATAAATTTTATTTATCAAGGGAAAAAAAGGAAAGTAACTGACTGTTAAATTGTGGAGAAAGCAAACAAGAGGGCTCCATAAGATATTCTATCTTATGTAGTAAAAAAACCTGGCACGTTATTGTGGCCCATACAAAAACAGCTATTCTACAACTGTTTGAAATACCACTCTACCAAACAAACAGCATAGTATTTAAAAACTTTTCTTTCCTGTACCTATATTTTAATTTACTTGCTATACTATGTATCGGGCTCCCCTGGTAGCTCAGATGGTAAAGACTCTGTCCACAATGTGGGAGATCCAGGTTTGACCCCTAGGTTGGGAGGATTCCCTGGAGAAGGGACTGGCTACCCACTCAAGTATTCTTGCCTGGAGAATTCCACAGACAGAGGTCCCTGGAAAGCCCCAGATCATGGGGTCGCAAAAAGTCGGACATGACTGAGTGAGTAATTGCAAAAAATACTATATATCTGAATAAATGCAAGACAACTAAAGAAAGTACTGAACTATGTTATCATGAAAATTTAAGTTACAAATCTCTAGAAACAAAAATTACAGATATTGTCACTAAGTATAATGCCTTCTTCATTTCTGCCCTGCAAATTCTTTCTCCTCTTTCAATTTTCAAATGCCTCTTATTTTGTGAAGCCTCCTATGGCTGGCCTGAGGAACTAACACATTTCCTATGCTTGTATTTTCTTCTACAAAGCCTTAATTCTTTTGAATTGTTACGTGTATTTTGACATTTTTGTCTCAATACTAAACTACAAATGCTCAGAGAACAAGAACCCTACAATTTGCCTGACTGAGAGCAGAGGCCCAGGGATTGCTTCTGAACCCCTTATGCAGCACTTCTTTCAGTGCAAGAAGACTTCTGAATGCCTCCCCGCAGACAGAAGCCCAAAGAACTAGCTCAACACATGTCAATACTCAAGGGTCACCAACACTGTCTCCTGGAGGCAATTCTTAGATAACAAGAAAATGTTTCTAAAGTGCATTTAATTTAAAAGTACACACAGGTTCCCTGCCAGATTTGTCTTCAATTATGATTTGTTACATCTTTCAATAATCACTTTTAACTGCTGCAAGGTTATACCACTGTTTTATGTGAGGAGAAATATTATTACCTAAACAAACAAACAAACAAACAAAATGTATATAAGATTATCATAGACTTTCAGCCTACTTACCTTATTTTAAATAGTTCTAAAGCCTTCATTTTCAGATTATTAGCATTTTTTTTTGCAATAGGATAGGTATTCAATAGGAATTGTTTTTATGTACTTATGGAAGTGGACCTCGAAGTTCTTTTTTTTTAAGTCTCCATTACTACTACATGAAGTGTAATATCATTTTATGTTTTTAAAATAAGTTGCTAATAAGTTATCTCTAACTAGGACTCCTGTCTCCCTCTCAGGACTGAAAACAGTGAGGTATAACTGGTAGCCCAGAATCAAGAAGAGACCTCTATTCCTGAGCGCCAAGCTAAGGCATCACAAGAACTCTCTGCTGCTTTCTTTTCTAAAACCAAGGTTAGAAGGTAACATAGGGTTGCTACTGGCCACATGCAGACCAAGTCTTTGCTGGCTGCATGAATAAGTATGTGCATGCGTGCTCAGACGTTCAGCCGTGTTTGACTCTTTGAGACACCCCCATGGACTGCAGACCGCAAGGCTCCTCTGTCTGTGAAATTTTTCAGGCAAGAATACTGAAGTGGGCTGCCATTTCCTCCAAGGATCTTTCCAACCCAGGGATGGAACCTGTGTCTCTTGCATCTCCTGCATTGGCAGGCGTATTCTTTACCACTGAGCCAAGTGGAGAGCCCCATGAGTAAGTACAGAAATGTTCTAATTTCATCACCAGCTGCTTAACAAATTAAACCAACTCTTATTGTTTAAAAAAACCTCAGTCCCAGTTCAGTTGGTGTTCGTTCTAACACCAAAAGCTATCCTTACTTGGCAATCAAACATCTAAGTTTTAATTTGCTAAATTTATTAATTTATTTATAAATTTATTAATTTAGCAAATTTTCCAAAGTAGAATTTTGAATACACAAGATTCAAAATTGTATGAATTCAGTCAACTGAAAGATAAAGAGGTAATTTTTTCCTTTCAAATGTTAAATACACAGAAAACTGGTAATCTCCCAAAATAAGATGCAACTACTTGTTACAGTAGACTCCACCTGCCTACTCAATATTGCTTAATTATGGATTTATATACAATGATTTTTTCATTCCTAAAACTGTGAGTCACATCTCAAAATATTCTTGGCCTCCTACCAATAGAACAGAGATTCCTAACAATACATACCTCTTTTAGTCAATGAGCATTCCCTAGGGAGGAAAACATTCCCTAGGGAGGAAAACTTAAAGAGTTCATACCAAGTGAAAGTATTCTTTGCTATATTAATGAAAACAGTGTTAAATTTTGTTGCTGTTAAAAGCTAGCAAAACACACACCAGCCATCAGAATTCAGTAGTTTACGCTCTGATTTTTTTAGAGCAAGGTTAGCAGCACAGCACTGAAGATGCTTTGAGAGGTGGTCAGTGACAAGCAACATGAGATATGCTTCTAGAATGACCAAAGTACTCTGCTTCCCCACACAGGGAATGCAGAAAGCGGTGGAAGGACTCACCACACTTTCAGTCTGGGTTTTAGGCTGCTTGGAGGAATCCAAAGCAAAGATAGTATACTCAGAGAGAAAAGCAGGCTCTGCTATCATCCCGGCTAGGAGCTGTCTCATTCAGGGTAATGAGCAGAGGCACGAACATAAAATAAAGGATGAAAAACAAATCATAAGGGCATGTTGCAAAGTTCTCATCCCACAAGCACGTACAACACGCTCGTGGCCTTGCACCACCACCACTGCACCCACAGAAACAGTAAGTTCCTGGGAAAGTGCAGGGAGATGAGGTGAGCTGTTCTGGACCTCAAAACTCAACTTTAAACAACTTGCTTTTCGACAGACAAATGATATATGCAACAGGCACCATGGCACACAGCACGTCTGGCAATTCAGCATTGAAGTCTACACCAGTAAGAACAATTAATGGTAAAGACACAAAGTCTTAAATACTGAGCTGCTCATTTCAATAGACAGAAAAAGCCAGCATGGAAATTTATGGGGCAGATAAACATACGAAATTTTAATCATTTATTTGCACTTATATACAAATAGTCTTCTCCAATACATACAGTAGAAATTTTTAAAACAAATGTATAATAAGTTTTAAGGATAAATTCTATTATACTATTGATAGCTCTTTTGATATACATTCTCATCTGCGTAATTTTCTTTCATAAACTGTATACGATATACCAAAACACTATCACGATTTAGACGTGTAAGAAATTATAACTAAAATGAACTTTTTGGTGGTGGGGGTTACACAAACACACTCAAGTAACAAAACTGCATTTCTAATTATTTTTCTCTACCTAGCCCATTTTGGGGCCTGCTTCCCCCCCACCCCACAATTTTCTGTTCTTTTTCAGGACATTATTATTACTTCATTTATCTTTACTGAAGACACTTGTTTTTCAAAGTCTTGTCCAGACTGCCCTTTTAATTATTTTAATTTCACCTGGAATAAATTGATATATCCCAATTCCTGTTTTTATTGGTTGTCTTCTTAGCATTTATTGTAGCATTTTCATTTACAGGCTCATTTTCAGGAAAGCATTACCCTTCTCCTTCCCTCTGTGCTCGTCCCTCCTTATCCAGTCGATCTGACTCCCTGGGTCCCAGTTTGGGTTTCCAGCCCCATGGCAACGCAGAGGTTATCACAGACTCAGTCACTGAGCCCAGGGGAGGTATGGTTCAGTTCTGGGTCACAAAGCCTCCCTAGAGACAGCAGCTTCTCACAGTGGGCCACAGACAGCTCTAGGCATCAGCTGGGAAAAGCTTTTCTCAGCCCCCTTTCAGAAGTGCCGTGAGCCCCACTTTAGCCTCTGGCCTGTAGCACTGAAACAAATTCTGGCAGCACAGAACCCTTCCGGTCCTTCTCAACCAGCGTTCAAAGAGAAAATTAAGTCCTAATGCCAGCCCTAAGGCATCTGCTAGCTAGCATCCACTGTATGTCATGAATTAGTATATCCCCTATGTACTACTCTATCCTCTTTTAGGAGACAGACCCTAAAAATCTTTGGGGTTTTATTTTTTTGTCACATCACATGGCTTGGGGGATTTTAGTTTCCCAACCAGGGACTGAACCTGGGCCCCAGCAGTGAAAGTGGATAGTCCTAACCACTGGACAGCCAGGGAACTTCCAAAAAGCTTAGAACCTTCTAGTAGCTCTACTGTGAAGAGAAGAGGCCCTGTTTCTATCTTCCCAGACGCTGTTATATATAGCTGTTGTAGCAACAACTTACTTTTTTGAGTCAAATTTATTTCATTCTTATATGCAATAACATATACATTAGGTACATAATACACTCAGAAAATACAAGAAAAAAACATCCACTACAGCAGTAGTTGAGAAAATATGCAGTATAGACTGTGATTAAATCATTTTGATCAAATCCAAGATCATGAATTATGGCCCTATTTTGTCTATATGGGTAATTTTACTAAACATAAAAACATACAGTCTTTAAACAGAAAAGAGCAACAACAACAAAAAAAGGACAAGGTATCTAAAGTTTCCTAGCTCTAATTAGCACTGAAAAGACCAATGGTATATAAAGATGGTAAAAGCTAAAAGAAAAAACAAACCCACATATCAAGCCAGAAAACTGGGAAAGTAGCAACACAGATTCAAGGAATTTCTGCTAAGTCTCAGTGCACCTGAGACTTAATAAGACATCAAAGATCAGCCTGCTACCCCAGTTAAAAAGAAAAAAAAGATCAGCTTGCCACTGCAATCCTGAGGATGCTCAGTACACTCAGCAAGAGAACGGAACCAACTGGTTCATCATTTGTTTGACAGAGAAAAATAAAGAGAGAAGACTCATATTACTAATCTCAGGCATGAAAGAGGGAAAATTACTACTGCATTTACAAAATAAAAAGGATTATAAGACAATACTATAAATAACTGCATGCCAACAAACTAAACAACATGGTTGACATAAGGTACCAAAACTTATACAGGAAGAAACAGAAACTATTAACAGAACCATAAAAAGTGAAGAGCTTGAATTAGTAATCAAAACATTTCTCATAAAGAAAAGCCCAGGATCAGATGACATCATTAGTAAATTATACCAAATATTTAAAGAATTAATACTAATCTTAAAAAAAAGTGTATATATATATATATATATGGGAACACTTCTCAATGCATTTTATGAGACCAACATTTTCCTGACACCAAAATACTGCAGACCAACAGATCAATACCTCCAATGAATACAGACAAAAAAAAAAATCCTTTGAAAAAAAAAAAAAACCTAGCAAACCCAGCAATATAAATTAAACACCATGAACAAGTGGAACTTATCATACACCGGGTTGGTTTAACACCCAAAATCAGTTAATACAATACATCATACCAACAGAGTAAAGGACAAGGTCACATGTCAATCTCAAGATGCAAAGAAGACATCTGACAAAATCCAACACTGCTTGATGGTAAGAACATTCAACCAACTAGGAACAGAGGGGAACTTCCTCAACATGAGAAAGGGAATATACTAAACACCTTGTTAGCATCATACTCAACGACCAAAAGACTGAATGCTTTCCCTCTTTCCTTTAAGACTGAATGCCTTCCCTCTGAGAGACAAGTATGTCAGCTTTCACTACTGTTCAACTGAAGGTTCTAGCCAGGGAAATTAGGCAAGAAAATGTAATAAAAGACAGCAGATTAAGGAAAGATATAAAACTACCTCTATTTCCAGATGACGTGATCTTCTACAAAGAAAATACTAAATAATCCACTAAAGGGATCATAGAACTAATAAATGAGTTCAGCAAGGTTATAGGATAACAAGATTAGTAATAATTTATAAAAATCCTATTTTTTTCTGTAGAATAATAAGAAAACTGAAAATGAAATTAAGAAAACTCAATGTATATTAACATTAAAAAGAATAAAATATTTGTGAATAAATTTTAACAAAAGTAGTATAAAACTTAAGGTGTGAAAATTATGAAATTTTTTGAAAAAAAATAAAGAAGACCTAAATACATGAAGGAGGAGAGGGAAAAGAAAAACAGAAAGTTTCCAATTACTTAAATCTGATATGGATGGCATAAAAAGAAAAGTATAAATCTCTCTCTTTACAAACAGAGTCAGAGGAAATGTAAATAAAATAAGTATCAGACAACAGGATATTAATAATGCACTCTGACCAGTAGAATTGATTTAAGGAACGACCAACTGGCTTAATATCAGGAAACCTATTAATTTAATTCATGTTTTATCATTAGAGCAAAAGAAAAAATATGAGAATTGAATAGATATCAAAGGCAATCTAACAGGCGTATCTTCTATTTTGATTAACTGACAGAGGGTAGGTAGGTTATAATCTAATAGTCTAACAAAGAAAAAGCATATCCAGCTTTAGGGGCAAAATTAATTCCAAACTTACGAAGAAATATTTCTCACCCATCACTTTGGAAGATAATTCTTAACAATTCCTAAAGAACAACACCTTCAGAAGCCCCAAAACAAAGAATAAATTTCAAAAAAATGCTTAGGAACTGTCAAAAGCTGAGAGTATCAGGAATCCCTGTTAGGGGTCATCACATGAAACAGTGAACATTTTCTGAAAATACAAAGACAACTACTGAGGTAAGAGATGGCATTTTGTTTCTGAAAAATAGCTTAAATCAAGAGAATAAGAAAGAAAAGGGGATATCTTTCTTGAAGCTTGTGAAAGCATCTAGTCCAAAGCAGCCTGATGCTTCATTATTTCTTTCCCTACAGTGTCACTCTTAATATAAAATGTCCTGTCTGTGCTGTTCAAGAGGTGGTGAGTATAGATAAAGCTTTTTCTTTTCTGTACAATAATGATGTTTTGTATGTGATATACAAATTACAAGTATTTTCATATTTCTGAATTCACTTGCCCTTCACAAGAACCCTGTGAGAATGGATATTCATTTTACCACAATTTAAAGCTGAGGCTCTGAGAAGTTAAAGGAAGCTGCCTAAAGCCACACAGCAGGTAGGGATGGAATCCCAGGATCCTTTTACTACTTCAGGCTTGCGCTGCATGTAGAGAAGCAAAAGAACATACAGGACATGTGAACAGACGTCTACTCACAGGACAGAACCCACCAAACAAATGAAATACTAAAATCATTCTTTCTATGCGTCGTTTTTAGCCAAAAAAAAAAAAAAATATATATATATATATACATGAAAAGAAACTGATTTCTAAAGATTAATTTTAAAATATGAAAAATGTGAACAGACGAGTTCCTAGGAAAAGAATGGACATGCCTACTTTGACCCCCATCTGTGAGGAAGTACCTCCAGAAGACAACAAATCAGAGAGCAGGTAGGCAAGAAAGTGAAATTTTCATTCCTTCAAAAGTTCAGCAGGCAAAGATAGAGAGAGAGGTAACACCCATGGGCCCCTAATCCACGTAAGGCTCCATCTGTTTCCCTCCCCTCTTGACGGGACCTAAGCAGAGTAAATGAAGCAGGCCATCTTGTCTTCCCAGGCTGCCCCCAGTAACAACTCGGTAAGCACTTACCACATGCACGGCGTCATGCGAGGAGAAAAATGTGCCGTGTTACTGGCTAGCCTCACAATCCCAGAAGGAAGGTACTGCTATTCCCAATCTATGCATGAGAAAATCTAAGTCACTGAAAAGTTAACTTTCAAAGATCCTTCAGCCAGCAAAGCCAGACAGTTCCAAAAACCACCCCCTTCTCACTCATCTATTCCAGGTATTACTCCAAACAAACAAACATGTTTCATTTTCTTAGAAAAGTCTTCAGACTGAGCCATAAAAGGAATGCAAGAGTTACACCTGTTGCAATACAGATACACCTTGAAAACATGATGCTAAGTGAAAACAACCAGACGCAAAAAGTCACATATTATGTGCATTCACTTATGTGAAATATCTAGAAGAGGTAATCCACATCAGTGGTCACCTGGTGCTGGGAGAAGGGGAGAATGACTGCTTAAGGAGTAAGCAGTTTCCTTTAGGGTAATGAAAATGTCACGGAACTAGATAGATGTGATGGATGCACAACACTGTGAATGTAATAAATGCCACCTTTAGTTCGCTTTAAAATAGTAAATTTTATGTTACAGGAATTTTATCTCAGTAAGAAGAAAAATTAAGAGTGGAGCAGAGGGCAGGAGAACAGGAAGTTCATTTGCCTAGTTAGCCCTTTACGTGATCCTACACTCTATACTGCTCAAAGGTACCCAGCTCCAGAGGCAAAGATTCAACTCAAGCAACACAAAGGGGCAGGAAGCCTGTGCTGAGGGCACTGAGGCTGGGCCTCGGAGCCCCGGGACAGAGTATCAGGCTACCTGGACAGATTCGCCGTCTGAACAGGATGAGAGTCCCAGAGCCCCACAGACCCCCGTGCCAGGGCACATCAACCTACTCCCCTTTGCCTTCAATGTCTACACTCACATAGGTGATTTTTTACACCCCTATAAGGAAGCCTGGGGCGTCCCAGGTGGCTCACTGGTAAAGAATCTGCCTACCAACGCAAGAGACACAGGTTCGATCCCTGGGTCGGGAAGATCCCCTGGAAAAGGAAATGACAACCCACTTCAGTATTCTTGCCTGGGAAATCCCATGGACAGAGGAGCCTGGCGGGCTACCTACAGTCCATGGGGCCACAAAGAGTCATACACGAAACAAAACAAGAACAAGGAAGCCTGAGCCACTGCTACCAGAGACAGACTTCTTTAGATTTACATAAAGTATTTACTAACATGGGAAAACAGACATATTAGGATTTTCCCCAATAGCTGAGAAAAGGCAAAACATTTAATTGACCAGAAAATCAACATAATGAAACCATTCTACTTCTCAAGTTTTCTAGATAACACAGACTTTATGTACCTTCTGGAGAGATTGACAAATATTTGCATTTTGAATTAAACTTCCATATTTTGCTAAAAAGAAACTTGAAACTAAAAGTGAGAATCCCATCACTGACAGAGTATCCTTCACCTCAGAGGTTTAACAAAATGAAAAACCCAGGGAGTTCGGGAGAGAGCTGGTGACTTAAAAGGATAATTTTATGTAATGTCCTTTTAATCAGTAACTTGATCATGAAATTTAAAAGTCCCTTATTTATTTCAAAATAAGTTGAACTAAGGTTTACATTTCACTTTGTGATCAAAAATATCTTTTAGAGTTGTTTAAAAACGCTTAAAAAACAAGGAGACGAAGTGATGATATTGCTTTGGCTGTCAACCAGAAACCATTTCCTAAGCTATACCTATAAGCACAGGAGCTCTAGTGCTGGAATATGGGGAAAATAAAAAATAACCTTTAGCTTACTTAGCCTGCTGTAAAAGAATGCTGAAACCATCCTTTTCAGAAAGGATTATTTTGTAAAGATACATTCGATTTAAATGTTTTAAAGCATCCTAGAAAAAGCAAATCTTTTAAAAAAAAAGCAACAGTAGCAATCAACGAGTTATTTTCATTGTTTGAACTGTATGTAAGCCAATATACCATAACATCAACCAATATACTAAGTGTAGGAATGATGCCATTAACACTGACTGCAAAAAGTGTTTTTGCTGCTCAATACTCTAACTTTCATTCAAATTACTTTCACATATAAACTAAATTCAACAACATTAAATTGAAATCTAAAAGTTAAAAAATGCAATATTGTAAATAATGCATAAGAAAATAAGATCGCAAAGAAAGTATCCATATACTTTAGATTCATATATAACTGTCAGATTATTTAAATATATACACTAAGGACACAATATACTATTAACTTTCAATGCAAAAACTACTATGAAGTTTTTATTTTGCTATCAACATCTACTAAATAATGGTTTTCAAAAATTATGTTTTAAAGTAATCCTCATCAAGGCAGTTTGGAAAAAAAATCTTTACAATTTTTAAATCTGCATACACCCTATGACCTAGCAATCCCATTCTTAGAAATCTATCCTACAGAATAACAGCATTGCAAATTATGTATTACATACAATGCTCAGTCCAACACTACTTACAATATTGAAAAGATTATAAAATTGAATTCATAATACTGAGACTTTTTCCAAACTAATCTATAGCATCAGTGCAATCCCAATTAAATTCTCTATACACGTGTTTTCTTGTTGTTGTCAGTGCTGTGTTTTGTTTTGAGCTAGTTTTTGTAAGACTTGAAAATCTGATTCTAAAATTTACATGGGAAGGTATAGGAATAACTAAGACTTTCCAGAAGAACAAGGTGGCAGTGCTATGGACTGAACGTTTGGGCCCTAAACCCCGGTGACATCTGGTGACAGTACTTGGAAGCAAAGCCTTTGGGAGGTAGTTAGAGTTAGATGAGGTAAAAAGAGCAGGACCGACCTCTCTGACGGGATTACTGCCCCCACAGAAAGTGAAAGACAAAGAGAGCGGCCTCCCCACACTCCCATTTCCCTCTAGGTGCAAGCAACAAAGAAAAGTTAAGCAAGGACATAATGAGAAGGTGGCTGTGTGCCTCTCAGGAAGAGGGTCCTCACCAGATACTGAATCTGTTGCCACCTTGATCTTGGGCTGCCCAGCCTCCAGAACTCTTGAGAAATAAATGTCTGTTGTTTAAACCAGCAATCTAAAAATTTTGGTTTTAAAACCAAGACAGGGAAGACCTGCTCTACACTGAAGGCAAGATTTAATATAAAACAGTTATGAAGACAGTGCGGGAACAAGTCAAAGACAAAGCAAGCAGGAGAACAGAAAATAGAGTCCAGAAACAAATCCACTCAAATATGGACACAATTTCTGATAGCACAGGAGAGCAGTGTGCAAAGAATGAAACAACTGGATAGGTACAGGGGGAGAACAGTGCTAGTGAAACTTGATCCCTACCTCACACCATGTTGAAAAAAGTGATTTCCAAACAGAGTATTAGATTCAAACGTGAAAGGTAAAACAGGGTGATACTCTCAAGGATAAGAAAAGAATACTGTAATAAGAAATGAAGAATACTAGCTATAAAATATAATATTGATAAACTGGACTACATTACAACTAAGAACTTCTGTTCAAAGGACACCATTAAGAGAATAAAAGGCAACGGACAGAAAGGAAGTAGATATCTACAAGGCATATATCCAATTAAAAAACTCCTATCCATACTGTATAAAAAAGAACTCCTACAAATCAATAAAACAAAGATAAACCAACAGAAAAATGAGCAAGAGCCTGAAATAAGCACTTTACAAAAGAAGTTATCAATACACAGATGAAAAATGCTCAATCCCATTAGATGAAATATACAGATGAAAACTACTCAGTCTTGTCAGTCATCAGAGAAATGCAAATTAAAACTACAAGAGAACATTACATACCCACCAGAATAGCTGAAATTAAAGACAACTTTCATAAACTCCTGGTAGGAAGGTAAAGTTCTACAACTATCCTGAAAAAAACAATAGGCATTAGCATCTAAAGTGTTAAAACTACATATACACTTTAACCCAATGCTTCTCCTCCTATAAGTATATAGCAAAAGAAATGTACAATAATCTTCACAGCAGCATAATTTAAAATAGCCAAAAATTAGGCAACCCACAGGTTTAACTATAAAGTTTATGATAGAAAGCATACTTAAGAGGCCCTATTTAAAAAAAAAAGCAGCAGCATATATCGAAAGGGCAGGATGATGGTACTCTTCTGTAGGGGAGGGGGGAGGCACTACAGCGCCGCAGTTTTCCTCTTCTTGACCTGGATGGTAGCTACACAGGGACTCACTTCATAAAAATTCACTCATTTGTGCACTTTGTTTTACCCTATTTTCTGAACTTCTGGAACTCTTAAAATCCTTCACAGAAAGAAAAAATGTTGGAAAAAATCTAATCTGAGCTATGGTGCCAGCTGCACGTCACTTGGAATCAGTAGTTACTTTAGTGTTTCCAATCACGAACCTGAAAATATAGGGCTTCTCCCCACATAATGCTGAATAAATTGTTATCACATCATTCTGAAAATATCAAATATTAAAGGCAAATTATTAAAAAAAAGGCAAAGTATATTATCCTCTCAAATTAAGGTATTTAAAGAAAACACACTTTATAAAAGCAAAATTACTATTAGCAAAAAAAAAAAAAAGGTTACTAAAAAAAGATCTAGGAATTAAATAATTGACCTGTCAAAAAAACTTCCCGTTTTTTTATCAAAAGAAGCATAATAAGCTCCTTGTAAGTTTATTAAGGAAGAAATTCTAAACTTACCTCTCTGTTGGGTGTACCCTCATCAAATGACTCTGTAAATGAGGACGTCCTGCTCCTGGTTCTCGTTGGTGTTGAAGAACTGGAGGAAGCCTAGATTAAAAGATTATTGCACAAATTAGAAAGACTACACATGTGAGCACACTACTTACTATATAGTCCTTTCTCACAGCCCATGCCCAAAGAACCCAGTAAGAGGAAGGAAAAGAGCAAATACATGAAAAACAGAAAAAGGTAAGTGAAACATCATCAACTAGCAGACCCAGGCTACCCACTGGGTCCTTGGTCTGATTCCGCCACCAACTTGAACTAGGACCTTCACTAAATTAACTTTCTGAGTGATAAAATAAACCTCAAAATAAGGTTGTGATGCTAAAATTATTTTATTAGGGGAGACTGAAACCAGGTGAGAAGCATATGAAAACTTTCTATACTATCTTTGCGGCTTTCCTAGAAATCAAAATTATTCCAAGTTCATTAAAAATAAGTTTGTCAATTCAACTGCGAAAGTGCCTTCCAGCTCTAACATTCAACATAATGAACTGTGGAGGTAAATATGTCTCTAGTCAAGGCTCGCTCTTTGAGAACACTGTGCACACCACAGCCCAGTACTGAGATGCTAGTCCATTACTTCTGTGAAGGACTGCATGACTCCTACAGTCCTTAGTACAAAACCCATAGCATAAGTTTAAACAAGAAGCTCCAAATTGAAACTAGAGCCTGAGGCCCACTCTAAGGTAAGCTAAAAACAGTCCTAAAAATATAAAACCAATACTTCAAGATGCCCCCTCATCCATAACAAGATAGGTCTTAACTTATCTACACAAAAAAATAACGTCTTGATGTCTTACCCTTCTGTAGTCTGTACAGCACTACATAAATAAAAAGCACTTAGTAAATATTTGTTAAAATAAATGAATGAACAAATGGAACATCCATCTGTCAAGTTAGTGTGTGCTGCTGTGTCTATGCTGGAGCAGAGAGGCCACAAGACACAGTGTATACACATACACACATACATATGTACATATTCAGTGTACAATTAAGTCTAACATTTCTAATCAACACAAACGTTCAGTAAATGGTGCTGGGACAAATGGCCATCCACATGGGGGAACAAAATCAGTCAGACTTTTACTTCAGACTTAAGCTATATTAAAGATTTAAATGATTTCTGGGACTTCCCTGGCAGTCCAGAGGTTAAAATTTCTCATTTCCACGGCAGGGAACTGCAAATCCTGCAGTCCCCTGGTTGGGGAACTAAGAGCTGAATAAAACAGATTTTTATGTCAGAAGCAGAAATCAAAAGGAATAGTTTAATTGGGAGGAGGGGAAAACATCAACAAAATGTGACATAAGTTAAATAAACTTTTATTCTAAAAAGCTCTTATAAGTACTTAGGTTCAAACTCCAAAAATTCACCAACCTAGTCTTCTTTTCATCTAGGGCAGGTGACCTGAGCTCCCCCAGTGAACATACCCACAGGAGACTCTGAGTCATATATGGGCGGTATTAAGAAAACGGACATGCAAAATTAATCAAGCTCGTCAGCTGGTGAGCGTGGAGACACAGAGCTTCCTGCACTCATACACAAGAGCTGTGCATGTGAAATGCAATGTGCCAAACTGAGGCGGCTGCAACATTCTTATTAGTGTGGTCCCACAGCTTGGCTGGGCAAAGCCATCAGCCCAGACTTTCAGGCCCTCCTGAAAATTCTGTAAGTCACCAACTATTTATTCATTAATAGAACCCTTTTCTGCTTAACTAGCTGGACTGAGTTCTGTTGCTTACAACTTAGAATTCCAGCACACACATACCTTCTAAAAGATGAACCAGAAAAATCAACACATGATAGAAGGAATGAGTTATGTGCAGAAGTTACCTTAAGGGATAAGACATCCCTTCTCCACCAAGATGAAAAACAGGAACAGTAAGGCCTCAAAATTTTAAACAGCAAAATAGTTGAATGTGAAATAAAGTTGAAGCCTTATCAATATTTTAGAAGGCAAAAGAGAAAAGGAAATATATACCCATTTGAATGCAGAGTTCCAAAGAATAGCAAGAAGAGATAAGAAAGCCCTCCTCAGTGATCAATGCAAAGAAATAGAGAAAACAATAGAATGGGAAAGTCTAGGGATTTCTTCAAGAAAATTAGAGATACCAACGGAACTTTTCATGCAAAGATGGGAAAAATAAAGGACAAAAATGGTATGGACCTAACAGAAGCAGAAGATGATAAGAAGAGGAGGCAAGAATACACAGAAGAACTATACAAAAAAGATCTTCATGACCCAGATAATAATCATCATGGTGTGATCACTCACCTAGAGCCAGATATCTTGGAGTGTGAAGTCAAGTGGGCCTTAGGAAGCATCACTAGAAACAAAGCTAGTGGAGTTGATGGAATTACAGTTGAACTATTTCAAATCCTAAAAGATGATGCTGTGAAAGTGCTACACTCAATATGCCAGCAAATTTGGAAAACTCAGCAGTAGCCACAGGACTGGAAAAGGTCAGTTTTCAATCCAATCCCAAAGAAAGGGAAAGGGAAGTCGCTCAGTCGTGTCCGACTCTTTGTGATCCCATGGACTGTAGCCTACCAAGGTCCTCTGTCCATGGGATTTTACAGGCAAGACTACTGGAGTGGATTGCCATTTCCTTCTCCAATGCCAAAGAAAGGCAATGCCAAAGAATGCTCAAACTACCACACAACTGCACTCATCTCACACGCTAGCAAAATAATGCTCAAAATTCTCCAAGCCAGGCTTCAACAGTACATGAACCATGAACTTCAGATGTTTAAGCTGGATTTAGAAAAGGCAGAGGCACCAGAGGTCAAATTGCCAACATCCGTTGGATCATCAAAAAAGCCAGAGAGTTCCAGAAAAACATCTATTTCTGCTTTATTGACTATGCCAAAGCCTTTGACCGTGTGGATCACAACAAACTGTGGAAAATTCTTAATAGACTNCCTTGGACTGCAAGGAGATCCAACCAGTCCATCCTAAAGGAAATCAGTCCTGGGTGTCCATTGGAAGGACTGATGCTGAAGCTGAAACTCCAATACTTGGACTACCTGATGCGAAGAACTGATTCATTTGAAAAGACCCTGATGCTGGGAAAGAGTGAAGGTGGGAGGAGAAGGGGACAACAGAGGATGAGACGGCTGGATGGCATCGCCGACTCAATGGACATGAGTTTGAGTAAACTCTGGGAGTTGGTGATGGACAGGGAGGCCTGGCGTGCTGCAGTCCATGGGGTCGCAAAGAGCCGGACACAACTGAGCGACTGAACTGAGCTGAGAAAACATACTTGTGCTTGTGTGTGCTTAGTCACTCAGTCATGTCTGACTCTCTGTGGCCCATGGACTGTAGCCCTGCCAGGCTCCTCTGTCCATGGAATTTTCCAGGCAAGAATACTGGAACAGGTTGCCATTTCCTTCTCCAGGGGATCTTCCTGAACCAGGGATCCTACCCATATTTTCTTATGTTTCCGGCACTGGCAGGTAGATTCTTTACCACCAGCATCACCTGGGAAGACCCCCAAAAATGTATGACTAGAAGCCAAAATTGTGTTTAGAAAATGGGAAAGGAAAGCAGTCACTGGACAGTGTTTATCTAGGAGTGAAACTAAATCACAAATATTCAGAACACTTCAGAAATAATTCTCACTGAGGTTGAGGGAAATGTAATAACCCTTCCCACCCAAAGCCGTGAATTTCAACCCATACTTTAAAGACTCTAGATGTTTCAAACACTACCAATATGACTGGGAGAAGCTCCATTTATATCTCCTTTTATACAGTTATATGTAGTATCTCCTTTAATAAAAGGGCTACTGAGAGGGCAAAAGTTAGGAAAGTAATTAGTTTTACTAGGCCACAGAAGTAACTCTTAGCCAACCCTCTCTGCCATTGAGATTCCAACATCTCAAAAAAAATGGGGGGTTAATAATTCAGCTTTCCAAATACCCAGATGCCACGAAAGGGCTACTCCAGACAAAGACTTCCAAATCACTTGAAAAGTGCACCTCTACTGTGAAACTTTTTAATTGGCACTATGAGAAAACATAGTGGCTCATAGTGGCTCAGACAGTAAAAGCATCTGCCTACAATGCGGAAGAGCTGGGTTCAATCCCTGGGTTGGGAAGGTCCACTGGAGAAGGAAATGGCACCCCACTCCAGTACTCTTGCCTGGAAAATCCCATGGATGGAGGAGCCTGATAGGGTACAGTCCATGGGGTCACAAAGAGTCGGACACGACTGAGTGGCTTCACTTTCACTTTCACTTATGTTTTCTCATATGAGCCTAATCTTTAACTGGAGCCTCATCAACTCTGGGAAAGTCAGCAAAATCAAATGTTAGGGTTTATGAAGTTAAAGTATAGATTCTAAGACACACTGCTGCTGCTGCTAAGTCACTTCAGTCGTGTCCGACTCTATGTGACCCCAGCCCACCAGGCTCCTCTGTCCCTGGGATTCTCCAGGCAGGAACACTGGAGTAGGTTGCCATTTCCTTCTCCAATGCATGAAAGTGAAAAGTGAAAGGGAAGTCGCTCAGTCGTGTCCAACTCTCCGCAAACCCATGGACTGCAGCCTACCAGGCTCCTCCGTCCATGGGATTTTCCTGCCCTCAGAAAGGTAGTACCACATGGCCAAGCTTGGCCTGATGGTTTGTAGGTCTTCCTCTGGAGTTGCAAAAGTTTAAGAATCACATAAGGGAATGGATGTGACTGCAAAGCATGAAAATATACAAAAAAAGACTAGCTGTACTTGAGTATTTATCCCAAAGTCTTGCATCTTTAACAGCTATCCTCACTTTAAAATATATAGGAAAAATAAAATGAAATAAAATAAAATATATAGGGATTTACATTCCTTCAAACTAAATTTCATCTAATTAATTCTTACAGCCATGAGAAATCTGAAGACAGATTTCTAAGCTGTTTGTCAAGAAACCTGATAGTTATATCCAGGCTCACAATATTTTTATTGCCAACTGATTATTTCTTGACCATAGCCCTCGACTTCACTATAAGAAAAAAAATTTTTTAGTCACCGTGGTACTCAGAATTCGAAGATGACCCAAAATCAC